ACTTACATGTCACTTTGTACTGTATACACATAGTCTTCTAGGGATTCTATATGACATACTTACATGTCACTTTGTACTGTATACACATAGTCTTCCAAAGATTCGATTGCCATCCATTTGACAGGTAGTTTACCCTWAAAGYATAATTTAACRACATTCATTCCAATTATAAGGTAGAATGAGCAGAAACTAGTTACACTAGTATTTGATACTATTCTCACCCCTGTTGTCTTTTCATATTGACCGCTTTCGTAGACATCACGTGACAACCCAAAGTCAGACACCATTGGTATGTTGTTCTTACCCAGTAAGACATTGCGCGCTGCCAGATCTCTATGCACACACTGTATTATACAAAAAAACTACATTAATTAGACATGAGTTGTTACTGTTTTAATTTCAATAAATCTTAATTCCCTCTTTTTATCGTACCTTCATTGTAACTAAATGGTTCATTCCTTTTGCAATGCCATAAGCTAGCTTAACTTTCTCAAAGAGAGATAGTCCGTTTTCTTGTGTCTTGTTTCCTGTGCTGTCTGTATTCTTAGCAATATTCTCGTAACGGTGGATCTTTTCTGGACGATGAGAGTGAAGATACTCGATAAGAGAGCCATTCTCAGCGAACTTGACAACCAGCCACAAAGGACCTATAATATAAAAACAAGAATGACATTTGCAAAGTGCYGYATGTTTGTATGTTTTGCATTGTGGGTCTCRTTAATTTGAARTAAAAAGTAAATATACAGCAATTAACTCTCTACATGTAGTAAGTACATTGTTTAATCAGATGGAATACACTAAAAACAGAATAAATGATTTTTATTGATAGTCCTTCTTTAGACAATATGACTATGGCCCACAAAGCACTTTGGTCTTGGAATGCACTATTCAGTATGCCGTATTCAGTATTCAACCTTTTGAAATAGCCGTATATCCAATGATTGCTTAATYGTATTACATAAATGCGTCCTGAAGCCGAAAGGTTTATTGAACGTACCATTAACCGTACAAGCTCCAAGCAAGCTTACAACGTGTGGATGTTCGCCAACGTTGGCCATAATGTTGAGCTCGTTAACCAAGTCTCTCAGTTCTACTTCTGTGGCTTGTGCTGAATTAAAAACCAATGCGACGACATGTTGAATATAATTGCAATGTCAAGCCCTCCTCTCTAACTATTTCTCGAAAGTTAGAATAATGATAATGATTTTAGTTGATACAAGGCCCTTTCTGCCTTGATATAATCCATGGCGCTTACCATCATGAGAGGTGGGTAGTATGAGGTGTAGGAACTGAGGGTGGTCACTGTCAGGGTTAATTCACGTCCTCAGATGTTCTTTTACGTCTCTCCTATATTGGTTAGTATAATGATGTAGAGAGGCGAAATAATTAAGTAAATTGTTTACACCGAGCCACTTGAACTCTAATCATTTGCAGATGTAATTACTAAGAAAGCACGTTCTCCTGAGTTATTTTAAGRCCCTGAGTGTTGGCTCGGCGTGGGCTTGAACCGCGACCACCGGCACGAAATTCAACCTACCCTTGAGCATTTTCACTGCACACATCGTGATTTCTTCTCCATCAATGAGCTTTCCTTTCTTGACTTCTCCAAAAGCTCCRGAGCCAAGTTCTCCKATGAACTCTATACATTCTCTAGCAATTTCCTTCCAGTGTTTCTCGATGTCTTCACCACCAACTCCAAGTAAGGCATCTAAACTTATCAATGCTGCATTCTGCTTTTCTAACTCTTCTCTCTTTCTCTGTATAAAAAGAGTGAAATTTTACATAAAGTATTGATTCGTCTTTTAAAAGAATGCGAAACCAATGAAAATACTTGAAGATATGTATGTCGGGGTACATGGCGCTAATGGATCAAAAATAATATGTAACCTTAACAATACATTTAATGAGTGATAATATACAGTGAAATCAAACCTGCTCCATGGCAAGCTGCTCTTCGATTTTTCGTTTTTGAAGTCCCTGTTTCCTCCACCAAAACCACAAACCAATCAGAATCAGAATTAGAATAATTGGAATGATGACACCAAGGGCTATGRCTGCTGTCATGTCAGCTGCAAGGGGTATAATAAGATCGATGGTTAAAGCATCAGTTTTATAACTTTAGACTCTATATACTTTATATCATTTAATTGTATCACCTGTTGTCTCAGCTGTTATTATATTACTTTCTTTTTGTCCAYATTCATTGTAAGCAGCAACCATAATTTCATATTTTGTGCTAGAGTGAAGATCTTCAATTTTCCCMATGTTCTGATTGGCTGATAGCATCTTACCCATAATCCATTCCTTCCTACCAGTTTTCTTGTGTAATATTCTGTACCCAGTGATGGCGTATGCTTCGTAGTCTTGTGGGTAATCCCATGTCAGGTGAATATCTGTTGGGTTTATTACGTTTGCTTTGGCGTTTTGGGGAGGAGGCGGTGACTCTAATAAAAGTAAAATACAAAAGTTATGAATTGATATTTATTGCCATGGGCAAAACCAGCATACGAGAGAGATGTTTAGGATGGTACTAGACGTATGAGAGATCGATACAGGACTTGATACGCCTAATCAGATGAATGTGTGTCGTAATTGTCTTTAATACCTTTGAAAATKATGTTATCAATAGAGATATCATCAACAGTCATCTTGCCTGCCGATAGCGAACGAATGAGGGTTTCTTTTATGGACTGTAGGGCAGACGATTTCCAACCTGGATCATCAATTGCCATGGAAATTTTCAAGTCGGCTATCACACTACCATTTCTTTGAAGACAAATAATATYTTTTAAACAAAAGCACTCGGGGTTGGTCTGAGAAACACTGGCGTTTTCCATAACAACACTGAACTAATTTACCTGAACTTGGTTACCCTGACAAACACATCTTTTTCTTTCTTGAATACTTTGAAGATCTATATTGCACACGAAAATGATAAAATACTTAACGAATACAGTATAGATTATGCCGGTTCTATGTTTATTATTCGATATATATGATATGCTCACAGCTCTTTCAATCTTGAGAATGAACTCTCTGGACATCTTGGATGTTATGTCTTCCAGTTCTTCTTGATATTCTTTATTAGAAACTTTTATCTGGAGCTTGATTACAGCGACATCTGAGAATATCAAAACAWTACGCATTAGTAACAACTGGAGGCTTTGGAGGATTCAGCATTTTKAAAAGAGGGTTCCAAAATAGCCGCGCCACGCAAGAGAAGCTGGSGCGCTCGGCTTCACAGATGGGGGTTTCWATTTTATTCTACTGAGCGTAAAGAGCATTATTAATGAGAGRATGAACACATAGAATGACRAATCGCTTGCTTTACTTTTCAACTTTTTCTTTTTKTTRATATATGTTKTTTTGGTTTTGTTATTGTTATCGCGGCTGCCCTCGTGATTGAGCTTTAAACGCATGTTAAGGCGTTATGCATCTTTGATCWATAAGAAGACAGTYCATGGAAATTRTATCTAGGAGCAATTTGTTAACTGAATTATTTTGCACTCTACCATGATATGACTACGGCWGTATTCAATATTTCAGTACTCACCTTTAGATACTGTAAGTGACACATCAGTTGTTGCTACACCATAAGTGTTGTTCAATACACACGTGTAYAAACCGCTATCTTGGTTTTCAGTATAGGAYATGTACCATGTWCCATTCGCTAACTGTGTCKTAAATCTYTCTACACTTTTATTTTCATCGTWAAGTCGCTGTCCATGACGCAACCAGTATATCGTGGGCTCAGGTCGTCCTTGGTATTCACATAGTAACCTTGTCGCATTGCCTTCTTTTGTAACRATGGAGCGACYTTTGTAGAATGGTTCAGGAGCACCTTGTAACAATAGTGCAAAGTTATTCAAACGGCGAGATTGTACGTATTAAAAAACAGGTTTATAAAGCTAACACCTACCACATGGACATATGCTAGTCACGTTATCAGCAGAAAATGGTCCATCTCCAGGTRAAGTGTAAGCWGCAACCTTAACGGTGTAGTTCTTRCACTCGTCYAGTGTWATTGTATTACTYGTCGTTGTCGTTGTGAAGTTCAYGTAGAGCAGTTTTCCCTGGTAAAGCAATACCCTGTATCCTAAMAGTTTACCATTGATGTTCTCGGCATAAAGAGGATCCCACATCGCTCTTAACTCGTATCGATTACAAACAAATGCTGCTGTCAGGTTTGGTGGTGGACTACTTGGTGCTAAGCATCAATAAATACAAAGTTATSAGAATGTTAACTTTTTGTTGTTGTTTAGTTTGAGATAAGGAGTGCTGCACCAATTTAAAGTAACAACATGGCTGTTGTCCACCCCCTTCCCCCTCCATTACATATACATGTTACGTTGATCTTCATGAAGCTCCCTATCTGATGCTTTGTGTAAATAGTATTGTCCTGCTTAATCTTACAAATGGAGTTGTCACTGGTCTAATTAGCTTGATTACTATTCAAAAATGACTTATGGTTTTCATACTTTTGTTCTTATATTTATGACTGTTGACCCTGCAGCATTTAGYAGAGCAGCTCAATTTGGAAGTATAACTCTATGTATTATGAAGATATAAAATGTGATTGATGTATTTTGAAGATTTAAAATATGATTGTTTGCCCTCCAAAATTGAAGTGCTTTAGGAATACACTGCTAGGCGTCTTTACTATAAATACTGACCCCCTTCTAGTGTTCGTACTCTTGGTGCCTCCATAACGTCTTTTGGCGTGAAAAAAAACCCTAATTTTGTAAATCCTATAGTGCCAACAATGTACAGAGAGTACGGTTTGAGCCCTGTAATCGTAAAGTTTGTTGTGTCTACAGAGACGGTCTCTTTTTGGTAACTTTGAAGGCTAGAGGTGGCATCTACGTAGAAGACTTCATAGCCTAATAGAATCCCGTTACGCAGTTCAGGATCTAAGGGTTGCCATTCAATATAGATGCTTGTTGAACTTGGTGAAAATACCCTAGTGGTCTTACATGGACCAACAGGATCTGAAATTATATAGAATGCAAAAATATGTATATAATTTTATTATAAACATACTAAGCTACAGACCAGAATACGTATCAAAGCGCCTTTCACAAATCCCCGCCCCCCGCCCCCCTTCATTATTTCACTAAAAATCGTAAATTTTTCATTTTCCTATTTTCTTGAAATACCTGTGGATTTGGCGAAAATTTTTTGCCAAAATGCGTGTGCTCGCCTCTTCATTTCTGGTACTCTCGCCGCGCCACTGGCGCCAAACAAAAGTTTTTTAGCATTATTAAACTTTAATAAGTAATCAATACGTAGTACGTACGCCCAGCTGGAGTCWTAATGTCAATGGCAGAGCTCCACTTTCCTTCGCCGAGATCAGTCGTCGATCTTAAGTAAACGCTGTAATATTGGTATGGTCGGATCTTATCAATGGTAACACTTCTTGCTGAGGAGGTAACATAAAGACTTTTGTTTCCGTATAGTCCATTGGTCCTGCCGTACACTATCGTGTACCCAGTTATCGTTCCATTAATGCGTTTTGGTTCGGACCATTTCAAGGTAATACGGGATTCAGCGCCTTTACTTGTTGCAGATGCTGTTATGTTTCGAGGAGGCGAAGCAAAATCTGTGTTTTCAAATCAATGTATAAACACTTGAGCTTKGAGGTTCTCATTTAAGAACACGAGTCATTTTCTCATGACAAAAGAAAATGTTTATAGATGCATAAAGTTTATATATATATACTATCACTTGTGCGCTTTGGGGCAAGTAACATCAAATTATTAGGTTTTCAAGCAAATGAAATTTTGATTATTCAAATATTTTATCTTTTTGGGTATAAAAGTATCTATAATTGCCACTTCGGAGAAACGACCAAAATACTGGGGCGAGGTTTGAATTTTAATCTAATTAGCAAAAGAGTTTGGTCGTCTGATAAAGAAACTCAATATTAGTACACCTATGAAAGCGTTTTAAAAGAAAACAGTTACAAGCATTCAAATTATAAAAGCTTTTTTTTCTAAAAAGATTAAACCTCAAAACTCGTCCCAGTCTCTTGCTCGTTTCTAAAGTGGCCAATACACATGTTTCTTAATAAGTAATAGTGATCAAATCATATTCTTAATGAGACATGTATTAGTGTAATTCATATTCATTCATTAGTATTACAGCTTACCTTCTTGTTCACTTCTGATTACAACGGACATGAAAGCCCAAACTATGGCAATTTGCCCAAGTAGTCTCTCTGCATTCATAGTGTCTGCAATAACAAATATTCTGGATACGGTAAAATACGTCACCAGAAAGAACAATTTTTTTTAGACATTACAAAAAATTGAAAAAAGATAAAGATAAATTATATATAAACAAAAATATTCACAAACATTCATAAAACTCTTCCACACAACATAATTATGAATACCACAAGTGAAGACTTGACTAATGACCAATGACCAATATATTCACTAGATTAAACTTGAAATGAGAACTTGAACTCACAATATTTCGAAATTAATATAGATGTATCAAACTTATCTTGATACATTTTGACATTTTTGACATTTGCTTTCGATGACAGGTATAGAAAAATGTACTTGATGGACCACTTATTTTCTTTCGAATTCTATTTTGACAGTGTGCAATTCTTTATCACTGCTGCATCTTCAATTCAAAAATCAAGCTTTTCGATTTCGATCGATACTCAGTAGTARATTTCCAGAAGCGTGTCCACCTAAGACATCTCTTGCTTAATGCTAATAGCATGAACTCGGTAGAGAGAGTCAAACGACAAATTAAACAATAAGACATAATTGCCCTGTATCACTATGAAGTCACAAGAAAAATCTTTTGTTTTAAGGAAAAGAGATACACGAGACGATCTTCAGCGCACCATTTTTGCATCAAAAGTTGGCCTTGTGTTACACGGCGTGCGAGGCAACACAACTTGATGACAATGCAACGTTGTGGGTTCTGAAGATTGTTCTAAAACCTGCAACATGCGTTACCACAAAAAATGTCATTAAAAGTCGTAAGTTCCATGGGGTCCATGCTCCAGATTACACTAAGTGTAAAAAACAAGAACAACCGAGAAGGGAATGTAATGGGCAATTTGATATTGCCTTGCCGTGACAATGTCTGCCAGACTGATGAGTAGTGTGACATGCCATGCATAATGCAACACTTTTTTTTTTCCTTTTCGGACAAATCATCACTGAACGAAACATTGTAGTATGAGGGGTSTGAAGTGCATAATATGTCACTCGCTCACTCAGTAAGAGGTTTTTGATCAGATCGATAGATAGTCATGTGCTCACCGMCATACAGTTCAAACACTACCTGAAATGACTCTCGGATTAGTAGGTATTTTGTCAATCAAGAACCAGGGAAGATGTAGATTGAAGTAAAGTAAAAAACTTTWAAAACGTCTAAAATAGAGTTTCAATAAGTCAAATCTATCTTTATTTGAAGTAAGTGAACCGAAATCGYTTTACAATCTTATCGTAGACGAGTTCAGTTTGCCGTCCACCGAGTTTCACTGAGTTTTAAACTTAATTAGATAATGTTCCGTGCTCACTGTTTCACTATTTGTTTTATTGGAAAGAACGAAACAACGAGSCTCATGTTATTTTCGTTGTCGGTGATTATTTTAGTATTTATGATATAGAAATKTCATTAAAGGCACCATATACCCGATGAGGAGAAAAGCCTTGCATTGCATACATCATTAGCCAGATTATGATCAGCAATACTTGATTGGACACATTCATCTTCTCTACATTTGTCCAATGGTCCCTAATGTCTATTATTACAACGCAATTCTGAAGTAACATTTCTGACTAACTGTTCTAGTGACTCAGATATGAATTCCCTAGTATTTAATCAAAACAAAAACAGTTGTTGACGATACATAGTAAAGT